TGAACACTCATGATTTCACTGAGAGCAAGTCATGTAGTGTGAACTGCACAGTTCAGCCTGACATTTTAAAATCATGTAGTGTGAACTAGGCTTAAGCTGTGGCAACTGCTAACCAATGGCGCGCGGGCAGGGGCGTCATGCAAGCCAAAATTCTGGGGGGGGGCACAATCTGAGATGTTGCAATTATTTCCTGACGGGTGATCATGTTAGGAGGGGTCAGGGGGCTTCTCCCCTCTGAAATTTTTTTGGTAACACTTTAAAATAATGGTCAGTAGTTAACAAGTAGCTATGCAGGAAGTAATAGGTAGTACTGCATTAACACCGAAGTTAATACTATTAACTAATATGGAAGCAATATTAACTAATCATTAAGTAATAGGTAATTTAGTACAAAGGTAGTTCCTTGGTAGGTATTTGATTGTTACTAAAGAAATATATCCTCATTGAGAATTACTTGTGAACTAAGAAATAATAACCAATTAATTACTAATCACAAAAGTAACATGTCTAAAAAGTGAACAATTGTGGGGGTTTTACTCTTAACATGGTCATAACATTTCAGAAGCACGTGCCTCAAATGGGTTTTTTGTGGAAACCAGTTTATGAAGTTTATACATGTTTATTTAAAACTTAAACATAAAATAATCCTAATAAAGACAGTTTTTAAAAATAAATCTTAAATAATTAGGAAGTGATGCTGACACTCTCATGATTGGATTATTTCACTATTATGAGCTCTATTGAATGTCAGTCACATAATTGAATTTGGCTGCATTTATGTTACGATAAGCGCAAAACCACATCTTCCAGATTACAGTGTTTGTTGGAATATTAGTGCCTCACAGAACCTGTACAGTATGTGTCAAATCTAAAATTAAATTACTTGTATCATTTGTGAAAAACATGTTAACTCCTCAATAACTACTTAAGCGTTACCTTGTCATCCCGCAGGAACTACTAGTTGAAGATTCACAATCTCATTATTTAATGTTGTTTTTAGTTTTTTTATTGTTTTTATTAATAATTATAATCATTAGTATTATACATGTGATTTACACTTTTCATATACATTTTTTATACTTTTCATATATCATTCATAATCATTTATAATCTACATTTTATGAATCAAACTTTTCTGAATACTGTATGTGGAAGACTTTTAGAGTTTGGGGGACTTTGGGGGGAAGTTGAGTGTATTATGTTTCTTTCCATCGGAGCAGAATATACATTTCAATGATTGATGGAGAGCAGATGTTTCTCTGGAACAGCCTATATGTACTGTGTAAGCTCTTTGTTTAGGCAGAGAGAGGGGAAAAATACAGAGAAGCAACAAGGAAGATCTTTGCGGGTCCATTATCACTCTCTCTCCCTTATGTCTTATATAAATTGGTAAAATAAATAACATATATTGGCAGAATGACTGGTGTCTTTTCATTAAATTAAATAACAAGGGGAAACGAAGATTTTAAATCTACATTTTTGGCGTCACGAACAGGATCGCATACCCAGGCATTCGTCTCAATCATTTCAGGTAAGACTTTTTTTCCTTTCTAAAAAGTTTTAAGTCTGCCTGATGATTAGAGACAGTGACTGAAATGCTGAAAAGAACTGTGTTATTTTAAGTACCAGTTGTTTTGCCAATGAATATGGGACATAAGGAAAAATTTATATAAAAATTAATCAGATTAAATAATCAAATTGAATTAGGCTTATTTAAGGTTCTCTGAAAAGTAAACCTCAAACAATATTTGAAATGCTGGGATAGAGATGGATCTTTTTTAGAAAAAAGACCATCTAGTCAGAAATTTGGAATTAGCTGTAAAACGGTTAAGCTAGTAAAATTTGCTTGGTTATAACTGCGACGTGGTTGGATAGTGGCGGGACTGTTTAAAAGAAGGCAGAGTAATCCCTAAAACATCCAACACACCGAAGATTCGTTCTCAGAAGGAAACGAGGAAAGTTGTAACACAGGCGATACTTGATTGACCAAAGCGGTTAAATGTGGCGGGACTGTTTTAAAAATGATGGCAGAGTAATCCCTAAAACATTGTAACACGCTAGAGTTATACAAGTATAAAAGGCGCCCTTGTAACTAGCTAGGATCGTGGGCATTCTGAACCTGACCGTAAAGCTGTTCAAATATTTGAGGAGACTGATCCGAGTTAACTTTAAGGAAAAAATAAATACCAAAGAAATTAACCTGAGATAAAATCCAAAATATTTGGAAAGAGAAAAAAAAACTGTTTTGAGTTTTAAAAAGAAAACTAAAATACTGAAAAGCATTAGAGTTAACTTTTCTTTAAATTTTTCTTTTGTTCTGTGAGTGAGGGACAGAGAAAGAGAGCGAAGCAGCCCCTCCCTTCAGAATTGCCCTGTACCTTCATACACATACACACACACATCCAGTTGGAGAGGGGGAGAGGCAGGGAGCCCCACACACACATACCTATACACACACACAGCCTGCAGCTCTGAGCACACACACAGACGCATCACATAGGCTGCAGTTTCTGAACATAGGCACACATACATCCCTGCTGTTCTGAGTTAACAGACTGTTCTGAGTGCAGAAACTTTGGACACTTTGAAAATGGCAGCAAGTGTCTGTACCAGCAGCGAATTCACAAGGAAGCCTCATTGGCATGGACATACTTCCATTGTTGAACATGATCATCTTCACTGACAGTCGTCAAATCGCTACAACAGCTGGGATAATACCACACGAAGATCGCACATGTAATTTGAGTTCAGTTGGTGCAGCAAAACCAATCATCAGAGACTGGACCAAAGACAGTGTGTGGGGTCTTCTGTGCAGTTTACATCCAGAAGTTTGGGCTAAACACAAATTTGATTGTGGCAAAGCCAACATTGACCCTGTTGTTATTGAAGGGCCGACACATGCCCCTCATAAACAATACCCTATCCGACCTGAAGCAAGACGAGCCGTGGAAGAGATAGTGGCAGACTTGGAAGCTGAAGGGATTATCAGGGATTATGGTGATGCCTATCGGAACACAGTATAGTGACGTTGCTGAACAACAAACATCAAGACCATTACTGATGCAAGGAGAGCAAAATGGGAAGCAACTTTGTTGAACAAGGATTTGAGAGTGGAAATCATCAGAGACACATCCCTTAACCCTGCAACGATGATGATCGAACCACACGAGGGAACACCACATGAGTGTGAAAAACAAGTAGAAGAAGAAAGTCTTGGTCCTGTTAGTCCAACACCTCTTGAAAATCCAGACAAGGAGTTATGGGTCGATGGATCCAGTTACTATGTTGATGGAAAACGACATACTGGATGGGCTGTAGTGGAAGCTGATGGAAATGTCTTGAAGAAAGGAGCTCTTTCTGGGCATTTTTCAGCACAAGTAGCTGAGCTCATAGCACTTGCAGAAGCTTTCGAATTATCGGAAGGACAACGAGTCAACATCTACACAGATAGTCGTTATGCTTTTGGAGTGGTCCATGACTACCTTGCCCTGTGGAAAAAACGTGGACTTATCACCAGCAATGGGAGCGAAATACAACATGCTTCCATAATTCGTCGTTTGATTGCAGCATGTCACCTACCCAGAGAAGCAGCCGTGATCAAAGTAAAATCACATCAATCTGACAAGTCCAAAGAAAGTCAAGGAAACACGGCAGCAGATGCAGCGGCCAGAGAAGCAGCACTACTTCCTCTTACTCCTGTTACCTTGGTACAGGAAAACAGCAAAGATAATCCTGAGCTCCGCCTTCTGTCATATCAAACTGAGACAGATGAAGAGAAAGAACAATGGATAAAAGCGGGAGTGAAAGAGGATGATCAAGGTATCTGGAGAATTCCAACAGGACAAGTGGTGATGCCTATCGGAACAAGAAGGGAACTAATGCAGCTGTATCATGGAAAAGTACATGCTGGAGCAAAAGCAATGAAAGCTCAAATCAGCGAGACGTGGTGGTGGCCACGAATGATGAGAGACATTGATGATTACTGTAGAAGATGCTTGATCTGTCTGAAAGCAAATGTTGGAAAATCTGTAAAGGTGCGGATGTCACATGCACCCAGACCAACAGGTCCATGGACACATCTCCAAATCGATTTCACAGGACCTTTGTCACCCAGTGGAGGGTACCAATACATTCTAGTAATCATGGACAGATTTACTAGATGGGTGGAAGCATTCCCAACAAAAACCTGCACTGCTGAAGCAGCCGCACGAGTAATGGTTGAACAAGTCTTTCCTCGCTGGGGTCTTCCATATGAACTTGATTCTGACAATGGAACTCACTTCACTGGAAAACTGATGAAGGAAGCAATGAAATTGATGGGGATTAAACAGAAGTTTCACGTCCCATACAGACTTCAAAGTTCAGGCCTAGTGGAACGGATGAACAGATCGTTGAAAACCGCTCTTACCAAGGCCATTCTGCAAACTGGCCAAGGATGGCATAAGTTGTTACCCGCAATTTTGTGGAATCTGAGAGCAACCCCGAACAGAGTAACGGGACTGACTCCTTTTGAACTGATGACTGGAAGAGCAATGGTTCTGCCTCCTGATGCTCCGCCACCTGCGGGAACAGGAGGAGACTCTACTTTGTTCCAAGAGAAGCTACGACGCTATCTTGCAATGCTGGACAATGCAATCAAAGACAATAATAAGAAAGTGCGAGAAGCTCAACAGCAATGGGATGAAAAACATACCACTACTGACATTCCACACATTCCTGAGTTAGGCAGTTTTGTTATGGTCAAACGTATTCCCAGGAAAGGTTTAGAACCTAGGTGGGAGGGGCCATATGAGGTACTCTTAACAACAGATACAAGTGTCTGCCTAAAAGGGAAGGGTGTAGGAACAGATAGATGGTATCATTGGTCACAAGTTAAACCTTGCTTAGTGAATGAACAAAATGATGAAGGCTTAGGACCTGAGATTGAGCACTGTTCACTCATTAACTTTGGGAAAAAGGAGTGATGATTAATTATTTTTCTGCTTCCATTTCAGGAATCAATTCCATTGACATTGATTAGAGATGGTCGCAAGTTATTCTCGATACACAACGACAATGGTATGCTTGTTTTTAATTTTACTTGGCATTTACCAAGGAAGCCAAGCTTTATGGACTCCTCGAGTTCAAGAAATTACTCGGAATGCAACCCTGAAATCTGGCCAACGTTTTACTCTACCCTTTATTTCCAGATGGGGATTATGGGATTGGGTGCCACGTAATGATAAAGACCTTGCTAAATATCGAGTGGGCATCTACGGTGGATGTAACTTTCACCACCAATGTTACAAAAGCAGAGTAATTTGGCCGGTGAAAGATGGGGGGTATACCGGTAGTGCTCAAAGACGAGAAATTTGTTCAAAAGAACAATGTGAAATTGTGGGGTTAAACCTCATAACATCTACTGATGTGGAAATTAATTTCATTTTGAATCGTACCCACATGCTTACAATATGGGATTCATTAGCCCTAGGCTGTATGTATCCCATAGTGTTACCATGCAAGGGGTTTCTATGGGATGCTACCTCCAGGACAACTAGATTCAAGGGAAATTACATACGAGTTTGGCATTCGGAAGATGCGAATGAATATTGTGAGACTGAATTAGAAACTGGGGAAATTGGACGGTGTTTTTATCTTTCTGCGGGAAAGACAAACAAAGCTAAAACATGCCCAAGTACAACTATTGCACCAGCTCATGGTATATTGCTAGCAAAGGAAACCAAAACCTTGATAAACGAAGCTCATATGGTGCGACAACGCATTAATTATAACTTGATGTCTCTTCTTACTGTTTGTGATCAGTCCTATTGGGGAAATTTCACAAAAATTAGGAGTTGGTTGGAAAAAGAAATTAAATATTATACCTCTAAGGATTGTTAGGGGTTAACAGTTAAAGGACCCAGAACCAGATATGAAGAATGAAGACCCGGAGTCAGAATTATAAAAATTAAAGAAAGTTTTACTGAACATAGTTTGCCATTTCATCAGCAGAAGTCAGCTTCAAGACTCACTCAGGAGTTCGTAGGCCGCCCCCTTACAGTTACAAAGATCACACCAGTTATACTGTTTCCAAAGTCTAAGCTACATCATTGCTTACACGTTGAATGATTCTCATTGGCTAAGATATAGATAAACACAGTAATTTTCCACACATATACAGATAGACGAAACATATCTCCATCGATGAGGCACGTCATGACCTTCCAGGTCACAGATTTGGGTTGCTGGCGCCAGTGTGTCAAGTCAAGTCAAGTCAAGTCACATTTATTTATATAGCGCTTTTCACAATACAGATTGTATCAAAGCAGCTTCACAGTGATAACATGAAAGTAGCACAACACAGATCAACAACATTGCTAAACACTAAATAACCCCAACTGAGCAAGCTCAAAGCAAGCCAAAAGCAAGGCGACAGTGGCAAGGAACCAAACTCCATCAGATTGGATGGAGAAAAAACCTTGGGAGAACCCAGGCTCAGTCGGGGGCCAGTTCTCCTCTGGCTTACATTCATATTGTTTAAATATAAATATTAAATATAAATATTGTTTATGAATCAAACGGCGCCATAACATATCGCAGGCGTTGAGTCGTCTCATCACAGGCGTTGAGTCGTCTCATCACAGGCGTTGAGTCGTCTCATCACAGGCGTTGGGGCATCCGAAATCCCCGTGAGAGGCTGGACACAAAACTGGACCTGACGAACGCCATTTTTCTCGGGACAAGCGTCCCGAGATAACAGCAGAAAGGCAGATGGGAAATAATTAGCATAGCTGATGTTCATAATGATTTCCGTTATAACTCACAAACTCTCCGTAACCCGAACTCTCCGCAACCCAACCATACGCGCCGACCCGTTTGTCTAAAAGGCTGTCGAGCCCCACTGGTGCGTTAAGCAGTTTCAGTGGCAAACGGTTCCGTATGGCATAACAGAGGACTAGAAGGTAAGCATTATGTGAATGCTTGACTAAAGAGATGCGTCTTTAATCTAGTTTTGAACTGTGTCAGCGAGTCAGAGGCTCGGACCGTATCGGGAAGGCCATTCCAGAGTTTTGGAGCTAAATGCGAGAACGCCCTCCCTCCTTTACTGGACTTCGATATCCTAGGAATGACCAGAAGCCTTGAATTTAGTGATCTTAAGGAACGCGGTGGATTGTAGGGCGAAAGAAGGTCCGTTAAGTACATAGGTGCTAAACCATTTAGGGCTTTATAGGTCAGTAGTAGTAAGAACACTACTGTGTGTCCAGAACAACAACTCATTCAATCTCCAATAATGGCAGTGGTTCCTTAACCTGCAACTAAGAAGACTAGCACTGAACTTTAGTCTAACTGGAGTAAGACTTCAACAAAGAAATAGTGCCTTAAACTGTTGGCTTCAATGACCCCTTTATGTTTTAACACTCAAACATAATAAACCAAATCCCTATTTCCCTATTATTTTCACTGTTACTGCATTCACCTAGGACACTAGCAAATAGGAGCTCCCATCAAGGCTGAAGAGAGTCTGAGCGTCTTATTATCAGTTAAGTGTACCAAAACATAATGGTAAAACATTCACTCGTTTGGGAGAAAAACAGATAACATTTGCTTCTCAGAAAGCAAATATAATAGAAAGAATACAGTTTAATATAACAATTAAAGTTCAATAAAGCAATGCTCAATATAGCTTGACCATCGGTACAGAGAAGTATCATATGTGTTGGACATATGTGTTCACGACGCCTTTATGATCCATAAACCTTTCTCCTTAGACCAGAGAAAGAGACAAATGGCCTTGTGCACCTAAAAGAAGCTGGTGACTTGTGCATGTACATCAGCATGCATTTAAGAATATTATTTCACAAGCAAAAGCACAAAGAATAAATGTATATGTCGATAAATGATTAAGTAACAATGAATATACTTAATTATTGATTTTATAAAAGAAATACATAATCATTTAAAATGATATTATGATATATATACTGAAGAGGCAAGGGATTTTGACCACCCCTTCAGGATCCTCTTGGAAGTCGAAATCGTAAACCTCGAAGTATATGGGGAGACATAGCGGGGGTATTTGGCTCTGTCAATTCAATTAGTAATACTGGTCAGCTGAACCAATTAAGTGAGTACTCTCACTGGGTGGGAACAATGACTGGCAAAGGACTTACTGAGACTCTTCAAGGTTCTCTACATATTATAGCAGCGGGTCAGCATCTTAATGACGCAGCGAGGGAATTGGCAGATGCATTAGTGAAATCGTCTAATTTTGAGACACATCGTGCAGCGTGTTTATTTTTGGCTCAGAATTTGAAGGATCAAATGGTAGAGGATATTCAGGTTATTCGAATGGGTCAAGTTCCTGAGCGAATAGCGGAATCTTTGTTACTAGTTTTCGGAAAACAACTTAATTTGACTTCTGCTAAACATGCTCCATTAGTTAAAATCGCAATCAATGAAGATTCGTTGTCAGGTTCTGGAACATTACCTTTGATTATGGTCTGGCCTCAATATGGGAAACGCAATATTATGACAGTTAGACGATTCCAATCAATGGGGGTTAGACAAGGAAATTCAGTAATTAGATTGGGAAGGAATGGATATTGGGCTGAAGGTGAAACACCAATGATTTCTACTACAGACTGTTGTATTGAGGAACATGAGTGGGTAATTTGCTCATGTTCTACAATGTTTAGTCTGTCTCTTAATGGATCTGCAGTTTGGGAAGTAGTTCCTTTAGATCAAGCCACAGGTGCATGGCAGGTGTCAGAAGCACAGTGGTGTATATTACATGACGGAATAAATGAAAATATGATATACAGAGGAAAGTTATGTCCAATTCCTTCTGATCCATTTTGCGTTGAGATTCTCTATCCTCTTCAATTGGGTGGAATTCATGTTCCACATGTACAATTGTTGCAGTTAGATCCACAGTGGTGGAATAATGATTTGGTGGAAGAGAGGAATTATGAACTCTTTGAAATGGTCAAGAGAGTTAAAGCAAGCGTTAAGGCAGCTCAAGAGGAGGGAATTCAAGCAATGGGTCATGTTATCGTAGCGAATGGAGTAGCTAAATTGATGTCTGAGAGGAAATTAGCTTGAATTCCAGGGAATTTAACATGGTCGGAATGGATAGTTTTGACTATGGTAGGAGTTTTTGTGTTTCTGTTAGTAATAAAACTTATCATATATGTGATAAGAAAGAGAAGTACCAAACCTTTTAGATTGGTTATTACTAACAAAATGGATAGAACCGAGAATGGAAAATTCGGAGTGAGATAGGAGATTTTATACACTACACTACTTACAAAACACAACCTCACAAACAATGAACACCCGCTTACTGATTTACAACCCCAAGGGATAGGACCCTTTTAACATCAATGTTTATTTCCGGTTGTTATGTTAGCGCGGAACTGGAGGAGTTAATTAATTAACGAGTTAATTAATTAATGAGTCCAGGCACGGGCAGAAGACTTTTTTAGTTTTTCTTTTCTTAGATGATTGGGGTTCATTTTAAATGCTTACACATAGATGTTAAATAACACATAGTATGCGGGGACATACCATGGGTTGGGTTTTTGTTTGTTATTTCTTTCCTTTTCTTTTCTGTTTCAATTCTTTTGTCTTCTATGTCTATGTCTTGGTCTACTATTTCTCCTCAGCACTATCACTTCAATAGGTTGGCCACCTGGAGATGATGGTGTGGAACTGACGGCCGTAGTTCCAGAGGAGGGACTGAATATTCACAATCTCATTATTTAATGTTGTTTTTAGTTTTTTTATTGTTTTTATTAATAATTATAATCATTAGTATTATACATGTGATTTACACTTTTCATATACATTTTTTATACTTTTCATATATCATTCATAATCATTTATAATCTACATTTTTATGAATCAAACTTTTCTGAATACTGTATGTGGAAGACTTTTAGAGTTTGGGGGACTTTGGGGGGAAGTTGAGTGTAGGGCTGGGCGATATGGCCAAAAAATCATATCTCGATATTTTTTGGTCAAATGGCGATATACGATATATATCTCGGTACTTTCTACGTTTTCTATTTAGATAAAGAAAATCTTTATATTTAAATATATATATATATATATATATATATATTCACATTCGGCCCAATGATATCCTACAAACAATGTTGATATTGAAGGATATGGAAACAAATATAATATAGGCTATGCAATATATTATGTGCAAAAAGCTTTTGTTTTTATATTGACTAAAAGCTAAACTAAAAATGAAAATAAAAACAAAAACAAAAGCACAAACTAATTATATTAGCCTGCATTTGATTACCCCATTATAATCACTTTCACTTTCATTAAAAATATATACTTGTAGGTTTAAAATTCCACATATGGCACATTTATTTTCTCCAACAACAAATATTTTAGCAATATGTTTATTTTAGTCAGAATTATTGCGTACTACGTAGTACTATTCACGCGCATGCGCGCGCCGGCGCTTGTTCAAGGAAGCATGAATTTTAGCGGAGATTCACTTGCAGAAGCTCGTCCTCTTCTGACATGGACATATTTGTTGTGAAATGGACATATTTGCTTTACTTTCTAACATTTACAGATGGAGAATACATGAAATGTAAGTTAAGCACTGAGGAAAGCACCACATCTCAAACGCATTAAACAGCGCAAGTATCTGTCAGTCAGCAACAGTGTCTGTCAGAGCATTTGACAGGGCGGCAAGCTGCCTTAAACTTGTTAACTATATCAAAGTGATTTTGACGCAATTAATATAAGCTTGTGTCATGTTTAGGACAAATTGTACTACGTAGCCTAGCTACTTTCACTGCAGCAGCTCACACTGCAACCTCCGCTATTTTTCAGATGTGCTCATATCAAACTACTGTATCGATATAAACGGTATTGCCTCATTCCATATCGTTTCAAAAAATATAACGATACATCGTACATATTCGATATATCGCCCAGCCCTAGTTGAGTGTATTATGTTTTTCCATCGGAGCAGAATATACATTTCAATGATTGATGGAGAGCAGATGTTTCTCTGGAACAGCCTATATGTACTGTGTAAGCTCTTTGTTTAGGCAGAGAGAGGGGAAAAATACATAGAAGCAACAAGGAAGATCTTTGCGGGTCCATTATCACTCTCTCTCCCTTATGTCTTATATAAATTGGTAAAATAAATAACATATATTGGCAGAATGACTGGTGTCTTTTCATTAAATTAAATAACAAGGGGAAACGAAGATTTTAAATCTACATAGTGATGTGGCCCATTATTTTAAAGTGAAAAACATGTTAACTCCTAAGTAACTACAACCGTTACCTTGTCTACACAAGGTAATGCTTGTAGTTAGTTAGGAGTCTACACAAGGTAACGCTTGTAGTTAGTTAGGAGTTAACATGTTTTTCACTTTAAAATAATGGGCCACATCACTAGTACTTCCGGAAGTCACCTGTGGGGGAGAAAAAAAAACAATCATAGGTGACGGTTTTGCAATCCGTCACCTCAGTTTATAAACTGTAGCCTACTCACGAATTCTACTGTTCCCTCGGTTTAACAATTCGTGCCCACGAATTAATACACCGTACCCACAAGTTCCTAATCCGTGCTCTCAGATTTGTAAACCGTGCCCTCAGTTTTTGCAATCTGTACCTAAATTGATAAACCGTGTCCACGCTTTCGCAATCCGTACTCACAGGTTTGTAATCCGTAGGCTACTCACGGATTTGTGGCTCGTCCAGAGTGTGCCGCATGATTAATTTCAAACAGGCCTCCTATTTAGATGCGGGATGCATTGTTTTTAAAAGGACTTCACATACAAAAAATAAATAAATATAACACAAAGTTAAAGGCCTATAAAAATAAAACATTCATAAATTGTTTTATGATTAACATATTCCTGTCTTAAGTGGACTCATTTAAAGTTATAAACACAAATAATAGGCCTAATAATAATAATTAGGCTATTATTATTATTACATTTAGGCTACATATTTAGATATTTATAAGACGCTTTTATCAAAAAAAAGAAACAAAGAAATTCGTCAAATGTCAGTCATAATACAGGTTAGACAATAATAATACTGAGATTATCACAAACAAACACAAGATTTTGACACATATCCAAGTGTTTGTGCACAAAATATAAATAACATTGACTTTTTGCCTTTATTAAACATTTAAAATATTCGCAAATTAATATGGAAATTTTTTTTTTACTTTCTAAAATCAAATTAGAAAAAAAAACTATATTTTGCCCGCAGTGCTAAATGAGAAGAGCATGTCTCGGGAACCATATAGAGATGATTTATAAGTGATTTATAGGCTAATCATAATAAATGTGTCTAAAAAAATAACGATGGATTTTTATTGTTTAAATAAACAGTTTTCTAGTGACGGGCTAAACATCTCCATCTCCGCTGTGAAGCGGATGCACCTTTAGAGAGAAATGTCTCTTTCGGATTGTATAATCAGACGGTATTGCTTTCGATTCGAATTTGTTCCTTTAAAAGTGGATATTTCAAGCTTTAGATATGCTTTTGTTTTTAGCTCATTTATGAGACGCGCTCCGGAGATCATGAAAGAAAAACGCGCCTGATTGTTTTATTTTATTTTTACACACCGTGTTCTTGTTATTTTACAAATACACCGTTTTCTTGTTATTGTGAGTTTACACAAATAAAAGTAGTTACAAAAAATGTATTATGTAGCCTATAGGCTAATGTAGTACTTTTTCTGTATGACCAGAAATGCTAGATTATTTTAAATTGTTCCACTGTTGATAGGAACATGCCAGTGTTTGCGGCTGCGACTCAGTGACATGCATGCGCGCTCCACAAACACTTGGATGCGTCAAAAACCTGTGTTTATTATAATCTTAGCCCATTATTATTGTCTAGACTGACATTTGACGAATTGCTCTGTTCTTTTTTTGTGTGGATTAAAGCGTCTTAGGCAGGGACGTGCACAGGGGGGTTGCTCAGGTTGCCCGGGCAACTGCCCATATGCCCTTCTCGACTCAGGCTGCCCTTCTGAGGAAAAAAAAAATCGTACAATGGATGTAGAATTTCACGTAGGCCTAGACAAAAAATAATATAAAAATCGCAAAGCCTTCACTTCCAAAAAAAAAAAATTGAAAGTCAAACTGTTTCCACAAGACCATAGACTGCACGCGACCGGTGCGTATGGTAAGGCACCGCAAATTACTCAGGCCGCGCCTCCATCTCGTGCCGCGCGCTAATTAATGTGTACGAAGTCCATGACAAAATGAAGCGAAACTATCCTTCTCGTCACGAAAAGAGGAAGAAGAAAAACATGAGAGTGAATTGCGGGAAAAGCAGTCAGGTAAACTTGTGTTCTGTTCTGTCAGCAAAGTTTGATGGTCTGTCTGGGCAGGCAGTGCATCTCTTGCATCACTTTTTGCCTGACAAAAGTGAGAGTAAAATACCATTATTTATTAGGTTTTGTTTTTGATAAACGACAAAGTGCAACAACAGTGTTTGTTTACTGCAGCTCGGAAAACATAACCGCGTCGCGTGTGTTGCGTTCATATGCGCGTGCACGAAATGAAACTCGCATTTTTCAAGCAGAAATGTGGAGACCAGAGAAATACTGTACAATACGTGAATGATGGCACTCCCAATCAAAGTACACATTATAAAGACACTGATTATCTAGTCTCAGTGTAGTTAAAAACTCTAAACAACTGTACTAATTATGCAAGATATAAACCAATGTATTGGCAATTTGACATTGATTGACTATTGATTTATAGGCTATATTGAATTTAAAATGATGATTAGATGGACATTCTGGTCAATATGAATGGTGCGGTGCCCTTTTTTTCAGGTCAGATCAACTGCCCCTCAAAATTCCTGTGCACGTCCCTGGTCTTAGGCTAGGCCTAGCCTATGTAGCTAAATGGATTTTGATGATTACTAGAGTTCACCGAAGACAATAATATGTTTAACATACAATTATTTATAACTTATAACCAAATCTTTTACAGTTTTTGAACTGTGCTATTATTATTTTATTTGATTTTTTTTTCGCTTGGTATAGCCTACTGAGATTTTTCCTCTAAAAATGGACTTTAAAG